GAGATTGATGAAGGTGTGCTGAGGTCAGGTTTGCAAATACAGAACCATCTGCAGAGTCTCCTGGGTTGGTACCTGCAGCACAGTAATTTACAGGAGCAGGTGTTTCCTTTTAATCTACATTTTTTTTTTCTGCTGAAATTGTAACTTTACTGAGAAAGTGCCTGTACTTTGCTATTAAGAGGATACTTTGTTTATTGATGCTATTAACAGTTAACTGCTGAAAGGTTTCTGAAAGTTGTAGTAACCTTACTCCAAAGAATAAAGGCTGTGATGTTAAATATTCAAGTCAATTAGACATGTATTCAGAAAACTGCTATGCATAAACATATTAAAGACCAAAAGGCTGTTTTTAAAACAGAATTATTTTGTTCAGGAAGGAGCCATTTCCTTCTGAATATGAGTGACTGAAATTATCATGGTCGTTAAGATTATAATTTGCTTATAGCCAGAAATGTTTATGGAGAAAGGAGGCATTCTGAAACAAAAGAAAAATCCAGTAATTCCAGCTGGAATCTCCCACCTGAATTGAGCTTGGTGAGATGGGCACTCTGGGAAGTGCCCTTTGGTTTGGATCCAAAGCATAGCAAAAGATCAGTAGAGAGCACAACTGAATTCAAATTCAGGTTCCTGGCTTTGCTGCACCTCATACTCTGCTCCAGATCTACTATAACCTACATAATCTCTTCTCTAGCCTAACATCTCTAAAACTGACTCCCCGATCATACGAACTATTTTCACATCATTAACTTCAACTAGTGGCAAAACCTGAGGGCATGCCCTTGAGTCTTTTAACTATGCTAACATACACAGGTATTACACCTCCTCTTCCTGCTCCTCACAAACATACTTCACCTCCTTCAAACTCCCTCCTCTTCTCAATTTTAGAAATGCTCTTGAGAATTTTTCTTGGGTCCGCTTAATGTATTTGATCTACCCTGTAATTCTTAACAGGGCAAAACTCATGTACGGGAAAGTGGTTTCTTGGCCACAGAACACTAGAAAGTGGATAAAACTTAGGCATTTATGATTCATGACATTAAAAAACAGGGAATATCCTCCTTCACCAATCAGTGAGGCAAAAACACAAAGTGAACCTCTCACTAACGAAATTAACAGAGTTAAAAATGGTTTGGGTTTTTCTGTTTGTTTGTTTGTTTTTCATATTCTGCTTTAGACATTAAATCTAAACTAAAGGTCTTCATCTAAAACTGACCTGTAATTAAAAAAAAAAAAAACAAAAAAACAACTTCACATTATTTTGACTATCTGGTAATATGTGGGGTTTTGTTATTCTACTTTCCCATTATTTTTGAAAATGTTTAATTATGTTTGTAGTAGATTTTAGGAAATAAAAGGAGGACAGTGACTCAGCAATTTAGAAAAATCCCTTGTTCTGTCTTTTTGTTTAGTCTGGTAATGTAAAGATAGATCTGCTCCTCCGGGAAAACAAAACAAAACAAAACCCATGCAATTTAAAGTCACAATCAAGCTGATTAACTGGTGTATTTTTCAGCTTTTAATTAAACTAATTTAATTTTTACCTGATCCAGCATCACCCTTAATTTTCATTTAGTTTCCCTTTTTAACTCCTGGGAAGGTTCCCTCTGTTTCTGCCATGTTTCCTTGTCCCTCTGATGAATCCTGAGACAAAGAAAGCTTTCCTTTCCCAGAAATAACTGCCTCATCTGTTGCTAATTTCCCTTCATACTCCTTACGAAACACATGGCTCCTTTCTATGACCTCTTGCTGTGTACATATTCATAAAATCTTTTATTTCCACCTTTTGCAAAATTTTCCAATTTTGATAACAACTTTTCAATGTATGTTTTCTGTCTATTCTCATCTAGATGACAGAAAAGAAATGCAAAGTATTTTCATGAATCCTTTAATCACATCTGTTAAATGGCTTATTGCATAAAAACTTGCTTCCCATTTTCTTTTCATCCCTTTTAGCTGTACATTAATTTCCATAGCAACAAACTTAGACTGTTTCTGTTCATTTTTTTTTATTTTATTATTTTGTTTCCTTCCTCATGGCTGTGTGCTTCCTTCCTGACCCCTACACGGGCTATGCCTCCGCAAAGACACACGCCAAAGACGTAAAATGAGCAAACGTGCGTTTAAATTTTCATGTCTCAGCTGTTGGATCTAGCCACAGATTAACTCAAAATTTACAGTGGCCTGGAACTTAATGACCTTCTCTTGGACACACTCACAATAAATAACTCTCCAGTGCACAGGAATTTTTGAATTGTGTTTTCCCTTTACATAATTTGCTCTTCGTTCAACACATCCCCATGCTAACAACCTTAATTAAGAGACCAGCTCAGAACAGTTCTGCAAATCATAGAATCAAAGAATTATTTAGGTTTGAAAAGACCTTAAAGATGATCAAGTCCAACCATTAACGTAGCACAGCCAAGTCCACCACTAAACCATGTCCCTAAGCACCACATCTACACAGCTTTTAAACACCTCCAAGGATCCTCTGCACCAGAAACACTGACTGAAGAGACACTGCATTTTTCCAACCTCCCACTCAGTATCTTCACTTAATTTAACTTTTGATTCGACATTTTAGTTTAATCAAAATAATGCAAATTAGCTATTTTCTTAGAGAAACATTAAATTCCAAACTTCTATGTTAATAACTGTAATATCATACAGGCAGTTCCAGAAAATTCTCTCTTGAACAGAGGTTTTTTTTAATTAATGAGTAAGGCCTAGCAACTTGCATTAAAAAACAGTCCATGGAAAGTCCATGATGATGAAGTCTGCATGAAATTCTACAGCACTCAAAGACTGTATTTAGCATTATAAGGAGCTGAAAATTGTGTTGCATAGGTCAAAGATCACATGGCACTAATGCTTATTTAAATTATAGTAGTCTCTTCACAGAAATCTGCCTTCAAATATTGTTTTCTTTGTACATTTTCCATGCTGACTTTGGCTTTTGGAAATTAACTTGAACATCGCTGCGTTCCACTCTTTCTTCATGTGAAACTCATACAATTTTGAGTCTGAATCCTCATTTCAAGTGTAACTAGACACTTCATGCTAAGGTAACCCTGCAATCAGGATCTTGCTCAAAGATAGTTAAATTAGATTAACTATATACAGCTAATAAAACCAACAGGTAAATCCTTCACATGAAAACATGAAACAAGGCCATAAAAATTCTAAATAATCTTATCTGAAGCTCACACAACCTATTTTTTGCGCTAGGAAAGACAGACAGAATTTGTCAAAACAATTTATTTCCTCCGCTGTTGACTGAAAATGTGCAATGTATTAAAATAAATCTTAGTGAGTAATTAGGATCACCAGGTCAACTACACACATTTCATGAGAATAAAGTTGCTACTCAGAAAATGAGTGCTCTTTTTCTTGCCACTCTCAGCAGCCTTGCTTGTTTTTGCATATGGTTGCATGTTTAATTAGCAATCCTTCTGTAAGTGTCTGCAATTAGCACAATGATGATTAATAAAATAACTCCTTTAAAGCTCCATTTAGGCAGCAGAACTGCACAATCAGGTATAATTAATTCATCATTAATAAATCATGGCTGATTAACTAATCTGTTGATTACAAACACATTACTGCATAGTCTCCCACCTGAGCTCTGGTGATTTTTCTATTGTGAACAGGAATAGGGACAAAGTAGTAGTAAACTATTAAAAAAAATGCATTAAGCAGCAAAGATATTGGTTTGGTCAGGAAATTTAGATAGCAAGTATATTCAAAATTTACTGGGCTTTGTTCGTTATTAGTCCTTTTGAGTAAAAAAGTTATTGTACTGTCTATTTGTTAAATGTGGATGTGTGAACAATTATTGCTTCTTTAGTTCATTTATACTCTTAAGGAAGTGGGTTTTTTCCCCCCAAAGCACCTCGGATTCACTCTTTGCATAAGCCAGTAGGAAGCAGCAAATGCAACAAAACAAGCTTGCAGTATTGCTCCTCAAGAAGATCCAGGTCACTAGCCAGAAAGTGATCAGTCTGCTTTGTGAGAAGGCAAGGTCAAGGTGGCTACTAAATACGCCACAGCAGCATCGCTATTAAGCTGCCTCCATGGCTGTGCCTGGCATCTGATGATGAGTCTGTGTTTATAAGCCACACTTCAGGTCCACAAACTACAGCAGGATTGAACAGGGAAGAAGAACATGCATTTCCATCTGGAGATTCCTTTTGCTTGCCACCTAGCTCTTGAGCTTTGCAGTGCATTTAAATCATATATTCCATATGTTCTGCATAGCGGCCAGAGCTAGAAACTTCCATTTCAAATGAATTCTAGGATTCTCACACTCTTATCTGTCTTCAGCTACTCGGACTTAAGAAAGATGTAAGTTACAATTTATGGTAGAATTCAAAATAGCTGGAAATAGGGGAACTTGGCACAACTGAGTTCCTCATTATTTATAAAGGGCTGACATCCAGCTGTTCCCACAGTATGAAAATACCTCAGAATTCAGAATACTTCATCCTGAAATACTGCAAACAAAAAGAACTAAAGCAGAGCTTAAGACAACACTGATTTGAAAGGGAAAACAGAGCTTTAGCTAGAGTAACTGAAACAGTTCAATATTCCTAAAAAATCCAGAGAAAGACAAGAACACTAAAGAAAAAGTGACAGAGTCTGAAGCAGTACACTTCATGAAGAAAATACAGAAGAAAATTTTAATTTAGAAGCAAATCTTCAGTCTTTGTAAAGTAAATGACACTGCTGTAACCAGTAAAGCTTTCTTCCAGATTTTAACCAGTTTTATGTCACTATGTCAATCTCTTAAATCTTTCTGCTAAAACTTTAATTTAAAATATTGACTAAGCAGCAGTACTATGGGCCACTGCAATACCATTCATCTTTGAAAAATACTGTTTGTAAAAGAGAACCATAAAGCACATTTCTAAACTATTTATATTTTTCATATTTTTAATTCAAGTAAATTAATGAACTTAGGAGCATCATTTCAATATATGGCAGAGAAAAAAAAAAAATTTTAAAGGACTGTAGTCAGATTTCACGAAAGATGACTGAATATGGATAAAGTTTGATTATTTTATCCATCAGAAAGGTTTACAATTTGGAAATAAGGAACAGAATCATTAAACAGCAGAAAAACAAGATAGCTGTCCTCAGACATTTTCTGAGGTCAGTGTACATATGAAGTGGCAAGATGAAAGTGAAGAAAATAATATCAAGGATATTGAAGATTAGAAGTGAGCATATTCAAGCATTTTTTTAAAAAATGGACAATAAGTAATCAAAGACTTTTGAGGACAGTGGTGATTCACTGCCTAGAGCTAAGATATAATCAGCATAATATCAGAAATTTGAAGGTGTGGGAAATTAGTGTCGATTTCTTCAGAAAGTCAGGTTTCCTTTTAATACAATAGCCATTTGCCCCGCAATATCAACTCTTCCATCATTACGCAGCGAAATCTTCAACTCTCCTCCACGGCGGGAACACTGAAAAGCTAAATGGAAACAAGAATCCACAGTTTAAAAAAAAAATCTATCAGAAATTATTTAAAAATCCATTAAAACTCAGGGAAATTAAGTTTCTGTCTCCAGAAAGCAAGCAGCACCAGGGATATCCTGGATGAATTTGTCTTTACAGATGTTTAGCTGAGGGTGTGTATCAGACTAGAATTGGTCTAATGAGTCTGACAAAAACATTAATTAACACAAGTAGTGAAGGATAGTTTGCTGCGATGTAGCCAACCATGTTTCCTTTCCTAAAGAAGTCTTGAATTGTCCCATCCACGGGAGAGACAGTTTCCGTAGGTACGAGTGAAGAACACCAAGTATTACCTGCATAAAAGAGAACCACTTACCGGTACTGAACATCTCAAGTAGGTATTAGGTTCAAAGAATGTGTTTGACTAATGAGTAAGTAAAGCTCAAGAAGGCCGTGGAGAAAGTCTACCAAGAAATAGATACTCCTTCAGCTGCCATAAACTGAGACCAAATTCTTACACATACAGGAACAGCTATTGATTTATATAATCCTGAATATGCCATTTAATCCAGTGGGATAACATTTAAGTAGCAATAGCCTTCTGCTTGTAAATAATTACAGAACTAAATTTTTGCTTAAACTGTTTAGTCATATACAGGTAGGATGATAATGCTCACTTAGCATGCTGAGTCTGTAGACTTGTTTCAGTAGTCCAGTTTTAGTTGTGCAACTACTTGATCAGAAAATGGTCTGGTTCAGATGGCATTTAGCAAAGGTTTGAGTTTCATATAGTGTTGTTTTTGTAAAAGACTGTAAATGGAAAAGAGGCATTCATGTTCAGTCTTCTTACTCAGTGAACTTCCAACTACTACAAAAGTTATTCAAAGCCAAAGGGCATGTTTTTCCTCACAAACTCACAATTTGTAAATTGGGTAGAGGTTGTATTCAGATCCTGACAGAGCACAGGATCTCTAACAGATGGCCTATATACTGTATGCTTTAAAACAATCAGCCACAGCTAAAAAAGCTCAGTCCTGGATACAGCCCCTTTTCTTCGCAATAACTTGGAAAGTTCTCTATAATCTGTTTGAATATATCAAATTCCTTAAGCATGTTTATAAATGTTGTCTTAGAAATGTGAAAACTACATGAAGGGCTGGATACAGAGACAGTTGCTAAATATTGCATTTCTTAGCAATTATGAAAGTCTACACATCCGATATGAGAGATTGTAATTTTTTTTAATACTGCAGAGACTCTTGAAATGAAAAACCGGCAAGGACTGATACTGAACTCTGATTCAACGCTCAGCTTAAATTCAAGGATATGTAAAAAAGTTTTAAGAACAATCATAAAGTATTACACCTTGTAAAAAGACTAGAAAATTCTCTTTGTAGTTGCTGGGTGTGGTCGTTATTTGACAATTTGGTTTAATAAAAGTAGGGAGAGAAGCCAAAACCAGGAAATTATGTCTGATACTTCAGCAAAGATGCAGCTGACCTCCTCCTAGAGGTCACAATACCCCAAGAGATCTGACAATAGATTTAATGTTCCTCATTTTTATATTATTTCATATCTGATCTATTTTGGAACATCTTTCATTTTATGGAAGAAAAAACTTCCTTTATTCTTGCAATAAAAGGTATCAGATATTACAGAAGCTACTGCAAAGCCTTCTAAAAAGTTAAAAGATGCTCTCATTCAGTACTCTTTGGTGATATGGAATCTTCTTGATTGTCAACCATCTTTTCCAAATAATCTCATTAGTAATAGAATTCGTCCTAGTACTACCTGATGCCCCCTCAGTCATGTGTATGTAAGGAAAAGCTACTTCTCAGAAGACTACATGTTGATCAGATGTCAAATTAACTTTTCTGTTTAAATCTCTTCTATGTGATTTCTACCACAACAGAAGTTTGAAAACATAAATACATGAAATAAAAAAAAAAAAAAAGATCTATCTTCTGGGAAGATAGGACTATTTTTTTTCTGATAAACACATTAGAGAAGCTGATTACAGTATCAATTGCCTTTAGTGCCTGAGATAGTTTCTCTAAAAGAGGAAATGGCACTACATACAAAATACATGAAAATGCAAAACAGGTAGAAAGTATCACCTAAAAATACATAGGGAATTTCTGCCTGTTTGATTACTTAAAGAAGCAGTGTCTATAGATAGCATGGAAGTTTCAAATTCCACATTAACATGCGAAAATGTCAAAATCTTCTGAGAAACAGCCAGTCCGTATGGATGCATTACCAAAGACAGTTTCTCCTTTTCAGAAAATACACTGGGATTCTTCCCCTCAACATTATGGAAACTTTCACAGATTTGTGCAATGTTAATGCAAATGTGAGATCTTCAGAATGTTAAACCTTTCCTTCGGTCCATGATGAAGAAGGTCTCAGCCATTGTGGATTACCACCTTGAGCTATGGAGTGCAAACAGATCTTTTAAAGAGCTTATCATTCTTAAGAAAATCCATTTTGAGATTCATTTGACCAAATAAAGGAAGGCTGATAATCAAGGAACCTGTTTGTTTGGAAAAGCATTTACTTTTATGGACGAGGAACCTTATTAGTTCAAGGCTCCAATCTCTGCTCTAAACTAAATGTTGCCAAAGACTTAATTGTTGTCAGGTCCACAAAAGAACTGTAAACTCCTGCCCCCTGCTCCCCCCTAGACAGGGACTAGGCTATTTTATTGCTTCTGTTGTTCTTCCATCCTCTGGTAAAGCACTAGAAACATGAGAAGTAAACAGACACTCAATGCCTCTTTATCTAGTGTTGTCATGTATGAACAGTTTCTCTTGGTTTTTTCCACCAAGTTCTTCAGTTTCTTGCTTAACAACAAATACGTGATCTAATAAGCATATCTCCTTGATTGAAAGAATGCCAATAAATCTAGATGTTCTTTGACTTCAGAGGTCCAGCCATCTTAAATTCCTTTAAGGCTTAATTATTTCAAAGTAAAACTGTAAATAAAATCACAAACAAAATTTGCCCATGCCCATGTATCTTGTCCCCATTCTTATATATTTAAGGTCAGTCAAATTCTTTCTGTTCTTGTAATGTAAGTGACTTCTTTCTTATATTCTTCCTTGCTACCATGTAAAATATCATCACCCTGAGGAAAACTGATCTGCATACCTAAATATAGGTGTATCAGAAACCAGAAAAACCCTGTACCATAAAGCACATTCTGTGTGTAGAATCTGAATGTTAAAAATACGTCACCTCTTCTTAACTAGCTATAATAACACTAACTATTCTAAATCCTAAGTTTCCTAAAGAAGTCATGAAGGGATTAATCTGGAGTAATTCTCAATAAAATTCCAAAATCAGGCAGAAACCGTATGACTTTTTCAGTCTCATCTTAATATACAAGGGGAAAGGAAAACACTGTCCAAATTGTACTGATAAGTACACATCCCGAATGAAAATACCAATACCTTTTCCCAATACCTAAAATGTAAGTCATAAAGACCAAGAAGTAAAGTAAAATTCAGTCAAAACACAAAATCATCATCTGAAGTTCACCAAGCCTCAGTTATGATGAAGGGTCATGAGAACTGAAGTCCAAAGCTGAAATCAAAAACTAACTGCAGAGTTACAATCCAGAACTGATACTTCAGACTCTGCAGGCATGATGTGTCATGTTGGTGGGTAGAAAAGAAAGCAATTTCTTAAAGATTACCTCACACACAAAATATTACATAATGTTCTATTCATATCGAGAAAATGGATAGGGAGTTATTTCTACAGTTTGAGTGTATCAATAATACTACTTTTTATTTTTTATTGAGTAGAGTTACATGAACGTGCAACTTTGCAAGAAAACAGTTTCTCTTACCAAGCATTTCTTTCTTCCCCAGCTGCTCTGACCAGTAGCTGCTTAGAACAGCATGAGCAGATCCTTAAAAGAAATTGGAAAACAGAGTACAGAGTTAAATTAGAATTGCTACTTTATAGAGCAAGCACATTCAAAATGTAAATGCCATAAACAAATCAAGTGCCACAAGTGTTTTTAGGGCAAAAGCACCTAAGAGTTTTCACGGTAGACAGAACTTAAGGCTTTATAATTTCATTTAGTTATGATAAAGCTGTATTACTTCCTCATCCTTTGGCTTCAGTGGAAATTTTGCCTAGGCCAGGGCTTTGTGATTAGCCACAAACTGGCAGGAATTACAAACAGTATCGATTAAATTGAGCCAAAGTACTCATTTGTTTACCAAAAGTGAAGTTTCCTAATAACAGAATCTCAAAATATTAAACTCAAAATATTTATTCATCTAAACATGATGTTATTCAATGAAACATGAACGGCTACCCATCAAAAAATCTGAATAGTCTTTTTGATATTTTTTAAGAACAGTTAGATAGAAGTCACAGAGTAAAACAAAAGTATTTCCTCTCATAACAGTTTTTCACAACAAAACTGAATGCTGTTAAGTATCAGGATGTAACTCAAGGAGATCTTTAAGGTCTCACCACAGCTTCTGAAAACTAAAATACCAATTTCTTGTTTCCTGATCAGCAGATGGCTTAAAAACTTCGGATGACTTCTCAGCTTCATAGCTAGTCACGCTGCTTCAGTCTACATTAGCAGCTAGGGGCAAAGACACTCTGCTGGAAACCCTGCTGTGAAGTAACTATAATTATCAGGGCTCAAGGACACCAGGGCATGTAAACATTATTAAGAAATAATTACAAAAGAAATATAATACAAAGGCCTAACTGTTAAAAGTATACTTCAGCTACACAATAAAAAGATTTGTTTTTATCAAAGAAATTACACTTGAAGATAGAAGACAAGCAACAGTGAGCTATAACAAGCCTAGAAAAATCTCAGAGATTCAGGAACTTCCAGCTTTTCCTACATATCAATACTAGTCTTCCTAGAAGTCCTAAGGAATGAGCTCTGCGATTAGATATGTCTACAAGACTCTGACTCCATCTTTATGTGGAAAATGGGACTGAAAGCTTAAGAAATTGTTATAGCTCATGTGTCTTTGTAAACCTTTCTTTCTGCTAGGAGTGCTGAATAACCACCATTGTTCCAATAAAGAAAGTTTTCTCTTTATTGAGCAAAACTCTTAATGAGCAATTTTGACCAAGTTCTCAGCTGCCTAATAATTAACTTGTAATTAACTGGTACCTAAGCAAATAACATCATTCTGCAGCAATCATCACACCTACTGAGTGAAACATCAAAGGAACAGGCAGAGAACAAGTCTGTTAAATGTCCCTTAATACACAACTAGCCAAGTTCATATTATTCATAGGCCTGAGAAAATCCACAATAAGTGTCATGAAACTAGAGGAGATCTCAGCTGAAGTGCAAAAAAAATACAGGACACAAACAGAAGCGGCTATGAACTTCTGCAACATCTATTCAATACCAAACTAGTCTCTCATTTTTCTCTAACTGGAGTAGTTCAGGGAAAAGATCTGAAAGAGACACAGGAAAATCTGACCTGATGACAGCAAGAATTTTTTCTGAATGAGCTGGCATCAGTCATGAAAGTTCCCAGTTTAATGAGCACACTCCTGCTGTCCATATAAAACAGTAATTTATAAGGACGACTCCAAAGTACAGACTCATGAAGTTTAATAAGAACCTTTTAATTGAACTGAAACAAGAGTTATAGAGTCGCTTATTGCAAAAACACAAACCTGTAACAGGGTCTTCCAGAACTCCATACCAAGGTGCAAAGTATCTGGAGTAGAAATCATGGCCTTTATGTTTTCCACTGGAATTTCCCTTAAGGGTGAGTATGAGTCCTTTCACCTTTCCTGTTTTTTCAGCTGACAAAAAACTTTGTGCGTTCACTTGCAGTTCTTCCAACACAGACCTTGAATATAATCACAGAATTTTAATAGCCTGATATTCTTCATTTTACATGAACTTAAGTATTGAAAAGAAACATAAAACTACAAAATCTTCTTCTGTACAATCCCAAAACAGACATGGTAAAAAGTTAGAGACAAGACTCGCAGAACTGTCCTCCCAATGTCATTTGACAGAAGACTACCTTGATTATTATAACTGAGTGAACAGAGAAAAAAGTTCAAGCCATGCACTTCCTATTTATTTCTGAAAACAGAGCATCCTGGAATATTAGCTACAAAAGAACACACTTTTCTTGCAACTTTTTAATCATTGAAGAAGTATTTCATCACTACAAAATGCAAAGAGTAAGCCCTCCACTTCCTTTCAGAACAAGCAAATAAAAGCATTCAGATCTTCATGGGATTCTAAAGCATTCTACAACAATCTCAAGTCTGTGAAGTTGCAGATACCTCCCTACAAAATAAAGTTTGAAAGAGTAAAAATACTAAGTACTCAGCTGAGGATATTTCCATCTCCCCACTAGCCCAATCTTTAAACATTCGTTAGGCCAAATTTCAAGTGAAAATAATAGTAATTTGGCCTGAGTTAAGAAGCTGTGTTTCAGTAATATATATTCAAATCATACTTGACTTAACCATGAAATTCAGCTCTCTGAGATTAACAAATGCTTTGGAATTATTTGAATTGGAATTTCCTCTCTAAAGCTACTTACGATGCTGTTAAGTCTGTGTAAGCAGATTATAGTCAAATGGGAACAAGAACCCATGGCGTTCTGGCAACGTGCCCTGTCTCGCTACGCTACACAGCTCTGACTTCTTCATTTGAGAAGCAAGACTCCTAATTTCCTGCTAGGTTACTGGACCGTTTTTTTACTCAGATGGCAAAAATACACCATTGTTAAAACTGTTTTCTACACCTCCTTTTCTTGGAGATAGATTTCAGACTGATCTTATTCAGCTTTGCAGGTTCATTAAGCTCACATTAGAAGATAAAATAACTATTTAACACAGGAGTTTAAATTAGAGTTTTTAATGCCCACCTGTTTTAAAACTAGCTAAAAGAGCCTAGTATGTAAGAAATAGAAATTTAACAATCAGATTCAATTTCTGTACACTTTATTTAAAAAAAAAAAAGTATAAGACACCTTTCATAAGCATCACTGAGGCGGACTAAGAGTTTCTTTGTGTCAGGAGAATAACGGAGATCTTGAACAACCATGTCGCCAACGGCTGCCTGGTGGAAAAGTGAAAGGAGACAAAGAAACACATTGTCACTTGAATATGAAATACTATTTCCTTAACATTCGCATTGAACAAATACCCTGCTAGATCAGGGCTTATGCAAGGTCTTTCATGCAGCCCTCAAGTACATGCAAGCAAGAAAAGTAAATGCTCTAAGTGCATGAATGGGTATGGCTGGTGCTAACAGCTCCATGTATGTCAATTCAGGAAAATTCAGGACCTGAAGAGGGCAAGGACATTAGATTGCCCTCACATTCAGACAATAGGCTGAAAATGCCACTGAAATAAATACTGACACTCCAGTCGATGATAGTGAGAGACAAAAGTTCAGCTGCAGCATTTTCCTGAGCTGCATGACTCAGACCTTTAAAGTTTAGTACATCAAGCAATGCCATGCTGTCACTTTTCAGACATTTTAATACACAAAAATAAGTACAGCTCTTATAAGACCACATATAGATACTTTTTTTACCTTTATTAACTCTTCTACTTCCTGAAGTACCTGAAGAAAAAAAAAAAAAAACAACCCACACTGTAAAAAATAGAACATACATATGTATGTATCTATCCAGATATCGACAGACAGATACACTTACATACCCATACAGACATAAACATATACTTCCCTTGAAAGCCTTTAATAATAAAATTTTGACTGACCTGTGGGTAGGTGAAGTAAAGTGGCAAGTCCAGGACAATATGATCCTCCACTTGTCTGGCTTTTAATTCCCCACTCAGCGTCATGAACGTGAGAACTGAATTTATGTTTTCTAGAGAGAAAATATCGCAACATAAGAATTTCAATCTAAATTATTTTAGCTCTTAGAGTAGCTCAGTGTGTTCACAAAAAGTTCATCATGCAGCTAAAATGTAGTAACTACAGTAAAGCTGTATTCTGTGACAAAACTCCAAACTAACTCAAGAAATAATCTTCTGAGGACAATAAACACAGCAAATGCCTGAGTCTTTCCTGCACGTTCCTAGAAAGAATGGGAGATTCCTTTTAACAGAAAGAGCAATATTCCCCATTCATCAAATTCTACTGTACCTCTCCCAGATGACATTTGCATATTTAGGGCTTTTCTTAAACAAGAGTAATAGTAGGGCATCAGAATCCAAGTGTAGGCATCAGACTATAACCTTATAATTACAAAGCAGTTGTAAAGACAATACCTAAGATAGCTCCATATGAGTTCACTAAATGTTCTGAATATTAATTGCCTTTGTTGCATAAAATAGAGATCTTCTTAATTAGAAGTAAATTTTCTAAAAAGTTATAGTAATAACCAGATTGTAAACATACTTTGTACATGAAACAATACAGCAGCTGCTGCAAGTGTAGCATGACCACAAAGAGGAACTTCATTGGCTGGGGTGAACCATCTGAGCCCAAAGCAGGAACCTTGGAAATAAAGTTTATTTAGCGTTATTACGTGGAATAAGTCTAGTTCTTTAACTTATCTCAAAACCTTATACAGAGTAATGACATTTCTGTTAATCAAAATGCATGCTATAATCAGTCTTGGTCTTAAACACACTTTTAGGAACTTATTTTGTACTGATTTTTGGAATAGCTATTGCTTTTGAGTCAGGCCAATAACAGGAGTCTACTATTAACAGACAAAATGCTTATGAAAATATATTTTAAGTGAGTAATTACCATACAAACAGAACTAAAAAGTGTAAAAGAAACAAATGGTAGTTAAAAAAAACCCGAACAAGTCTTGTCAATGCCCCGGTGAAAAAATGGTGCATTAAATAGCCCTATCTAATGAAAACAAATAGAATCCCAACAAAACCTAGTGGATGAAACTAACGGTGGCGGCAGAGCAGCGCTCTGAGGCAGGGGAGACGCAGGACTCAGCTGTGAGCCTGCCCTGTGGCGTCAATGCGCTCCCCCAAGTGGACGTTGAGCCTGAAAGCGAGAGGAAACGGCGTCAGCCATGGCCGGCTGGAGACAGAGAAGCTCGGTGACCCAGGACACCTGCCTGGATGCTTCAGACACACAGCTGCATTCAGACGGAGAAGGCATTTCGTACTCTCACCAATTAATGTATTCCTAAAATAATGCGGATTTTTAAAAATTAAATTAAATGCACTGATCACAAACGCATACTCCTGCAAAAACATACTCTTTGTCCAAGAGCCCTTAATACACCAGTTCACGTTCCAGAAGCAGATGCCAGTCTCATAAATGACATTCTGATGCTCCTGGTCTCCTCTTGTCCCCATCACCCCTCAATACACACTTCTAAGGTGTAGCCCAGTGACTAAACTCCTGTGAAAAAACTATGCCTCTCTTCAGCAGCAGCATGGGTCTGATGTCACAAACTTTACTCCCATCAAAAGCACTTTAATGAAAAAGAAACTGGCATTTTATATGCTGTTGGGTATGAATGACTTGAAAATAAATAAATGTGTTAAGCATATTAGCAAGGTGTTAACATGAAAAATTAAAAGTATTATCACTTCTTGATAAGATATTCTTTACAATAAGATAATTGTAAAACAAATTACAATTTATTAACAATAAGAGTAAGTGCTGATAGTTATTACTTTAAGAAAATCCTCTAATTACAGAGACTGTGTAAAATTCCACTCCCTGAACAAACAATCAAATGATAAAGAACAGTTTCTTTGCATACTGTCCTAGGGTTAGGGTCTCTTTCAGACAGCCAATAACCCCAAAACTGTTTTTCTCTCTTCTATTACATCGTATCAAAGCGAGGGCATGCCAACATGATACCTTAACCTGGAACCTTAAACTGCAGGCTAGTTGGGTTCCAGCCCCTCGGCTCCTGCCACCACAAAACTGCAAAGTGAGCAGATTCAGCAAACTGATTCAGCTGAAAACTAATCCACAGAGCAATTCTGACCAGACTCTTTGTCCAATATTTTCTCTCTTGTCCAGTGTCTCTCCATTTCCCCTTTGATCATACAAACGTGCCCTATCAAAGAACACTAGTGAAGTCACTCCACTCAGACCAAACAAATGAGCAGCGTTTGTTCTGGGCAACTTCAGATTTCCCAGTTTTGTTGGAAAACTGTACTTTCCAGTATTGGCTCCACAGACATCTTATGAGATTTTGTAACAAACACGAGTAATAGCTTACAGTTACACCAGCAATCTTCTGAACAGCCAAGCCAGATTCTACTCACTTTGGAGTCTTGTGCATATGGTATAAGTATGATCCATCTCTATTCCTCTGCTTGTATAATAAGAAATTATCTCAGGAGATTATTAGTAGTAATGGAAGTATTAATTGAAGAATCTTTGCATAGCATTTTAGGGAGATTTTCTGTATGCAACTTGCCTGTTTAGTAAAAGGCACTAAAACAAATGGTCTAATTTATGAATAATAAATGTTTGTATATTGTAAAATGAATTTGATATGCAGCACAAATACTTTAAAGAATCCACGTGCAAACAGCTTATTAACATTATCTTGAGCAAGATACATCACAACTCTGAGACTGTGCTTTGGCTGTCTTACAAATTAGTGTTGTTCCTTATAAATGCACCCACAGGGTCTTCCTATTCCCTTGCAAGAAATTTTGGAGGGTAAAGAGAACCACTCACTTTTGGTAAAGTCATCTCCAGGGTGCAGTTTTCTGATGAAAGCAGTTTCTGACAGGTTCATTTCTGTTGCAATTTTTTGGTGCAAATTTTCAACCAAGTCCTAATGATAAAACAACAAATCTAATTAAAAGCAGGCCAAAAAACACTGAATCAAACTGTCTGTCAAATAAATACAGTCATTTCATTTTCTATTATAATAAACCACCGATTCATTTTTAGTTCAAAACACTTCTGAGAGTAAAAGAAGCTTTAAGCATAAAGCAGGATAACTAGTTCAACTGTTATGATACCTGGGCAGTTCTAATATATGTACTATTAAGTTTACAAATTCTTGGAATACGTGGAAAATAAAATCACCAAAAAACTAAACCCAGTCTTTCTATGAACACAAAACTTTTTTAAAAATCACACTGAGAAGTCATTATTAACATAATCTGAAAATAACTACAAGTCCCTTTCTATGACTCTGAAAAATCCACACCAGCAAGAGGTATGCGGCAATGGCCGAGATGGCTGCTCAGCAGTTAGGGCTGTACCCTCGATAGCGCTCTTTGCGCAACGGGAACAATATGCTAAGTCAGTAGAAGCTGAGAGGAGATAAACTGAAAACCAAAAACGCTGGAGCTCACTCCGTTCTGCTCTAACTGCCTGCAGATTTAAACCAGTGAACGCTGATCCCAGGATACATGAGCTGAAACAAATGTATAAAATTCTACTTCACCCTTGTTCCATTGCTCTTTCCCACCCTTATGCTGACTGGCCATGTTTGAGAATCTGGTCTTTAAAAGACAGAAACAGAAATGAAACAAAGTATTGAGTGCACTTGGTCAGGTTCAACCTTTGACAGATAAAAACTTGCCCTCCTAACTTTACTTATTTCTCTTAATAACTTTAATCTTTTTCAGCCAGTGATCCCATACTACAGATAGGAAACAACCACCGATGCAACAGATCTGCATGTGCAGATTGAATTCTATACAATGAAACAACACTCTAACTTTTTACCATAATAAGCATTTCTCCTCAGAAAACCAGTTCTATCAATTAGATAGTAAAAAGATACTAAACCAGAACAAAGACCAACCAAAATGTTACTAAAAATAATAAAACTTTATTGAACTACTGCCATCCTGTGGTACTTTGAAATACAGGAGGGGCTTGTGCCATTCTGGGTTTTTGTAAAGCATCTGCTGAGACTCTGAAGGGAAAGAACAGAAATATTGCTTCTAGGTGCATCACACTTTCTTGGAGATTAGAATAAAACTACAAATTAGGATCTGCTCTTTAACTGAATCTCAGCTTTAACTCTGACACTGGAGCCTCTAGCCCCAGGTTCTGTAGAAAAAAAACCTTCATAAACCTGAACACTCCAAAAGCAACATGCAAATAAGTTGCCCTCACAATATATTAATAAAGTAAAATTAATATGGAAACGCAATTAAAAGCTCATAGTTTTAAAGTGCATTTTGAGAGGGAGTATCTAGATTTTAGGGGGTCAAAACCACCTCTGAAGGGGGATGTTCTCTTATAACTTCAGCTGATCTGGTAAGTAGAGATCTAGACAAGGCTTAGGAACATTTAGAAAGGATTCACATTGTCAGTATAAGCAACTAGCATTGACTGTTCTACGGACATTTTCATACTCATAATTTTCATCAAGTGTTACTATACAAATAATATAAGGCCTATAAATTTTTAAACCAGTTTAATTAGTTTTTGGTAGACATTGTCAAAAGTGTACCAGTTAGAACCAACTGTTCACAACACCTTGATGAGAACGATGACTACTGTCAATTGCACTAAAACTACCATGCAACTTCGAAGCAATAAAACCCAGCTGTTTAAACTTGGCTAAAGCCGAACATGACACACTAAAGGTGAAAGACTCAGACCCTTTCTCCTTCCATAGAAAGAGAAAAAAAAAAAAAAAAGGGGAAGGAAATCCACACCAAAGCCCACATTTTAACAATTCATTCAAAAACTACTGAGTACTGATTCAGTGTTATCGCATTTCCTTTCCATTTAATTCTGAATCCATGGGTTTAAGAAATTAAGCCGTTTATTTTTGATTCGGTGAGACTAAAACCAGTATGTTCCTTCAAAAAAATTTTAAAAAAAAAAGTAAACCCACAAAAATACAAAACATGTCTTGAATGAAATTGTTCTGACGGGGAAAAAAAAAAAAACAAAACAAAACAACTCTGCTCTGCTAATTTCTCTACTCGGGAGCAACAGCAAACAACGCTTGCAAGAACTTCCGAGTAAAGGAAGCAAAGTCTAGTGCTGTGCTGAGTGCTCAGGCCAAGTACAGAATGGTAAATGCCATTGCAGTCCCTTATAAAATCGGGGGGTTTTTAACTTACATTTTCAAGCAGACAAACTGTCGCAGGATTTCCAGAAAATGGCCGGTTTGTAAATGCATCAACCGTAAAAATTGGAATTTGCATTGTTGTTTGCGCCTATTTAGTCTTAAGCTGTTTTCTGCAAGGTACTTTGTACCTGCTTTATCCCCGAGTGACAGCAGAACTCCGAGTTAATGTTTCCCTAGCGGCAGGAGGCGGCAGCGGCCCCCCTCCCGTCACTTCCGAGCGCGGACATGGACTCAAGACTCCTTCCATGCAGCGCTCGGCACTGATTTAAAAAACTTTAACCTCGCTCTCACGTCGCTGGCTCCCAGCTCCAGGACGCTGTAACGGGCCCGCCCGCCCCGCGCGGGGGCACTGACGGTGCCCGGAGCCGGGTCAGGTTCCCGCGGGTCCCGCCTAGCCGCGGGCTGACTGAGGAGAGGCGGACAGCCATTACGTGCGCGCCCGCGGGTCGCTCTTCCCCTCCCGCCCAAGCCGTGGCCAGGGCCGCCTGAGGACACACACACACACACACACACACGCTGCAGAGCCCGACCGGCCCCGCCATGTAC